GGTCGTGGATCCTTGAATTCAATCCCCTGCCGTCAAGGTGTCTGTCATCCAGTACGGGAGACCCAGGTGGATATAAATGGCTAACTATAAAGCAGGATCTTAAGATCAGAAGCAGAGCGTAAAGAGCTAAGGAAGTGGGTAGGAGCAAACATTTCACCCAGCAGAAGAGAGGAATCTAAGAAAGCTTCAGAGAGGAATGGACTTTGTTTAAGAGCGAATAGGATTTCAGTAGATAAGGGGTAGAATAGGAGAGCAAAGGCAGGCAGTCAGGAAAGAGTTCCAGTGTGTGTTCAGGACATTGCATGGGGTATGATTCGGCAGGAACAGAGTAAGAGGGAAGTGGGAGGCAATAAGACTTTAAGATTATCTATAGAACTGCCCCATAGGGTTTCCAAGGAGTGGCTGGTGGATTCGAACTGCTGACCTTTTCGCTCTTAACCACTGTGCCACCAGAGCCTTATCTGTCTAGCCTGCCCCACCCAAAAACCCATTGCTGCTGAGTTGATTCTGATTCATAGCAACCCTAAAGGACAGAGTAGAACTGCCCCATAGGGTTTCTAAGGAGCAGCTGGTGGATATAAACCTCTGACCTTTTGGTTAGCAGCCGAGCTCTTAACCACTGTACTGCCAGGGCTCACACAAGATAAACAAGATAAACATTGTCCATATATAGATTTTAGGGTAGCAGGACAGTGTTAGGAGCATGAGCTTTAGAGTCAGGCAGCCCTAGGTTGCAATCCTGGCTCTAGTACTTAGAAGCAATGGGATCTTTTATAGATTTACTAGTACATCTGCACTCCAATTTCTCCCTGTAATATGAGGATAATTACAGCACCTTATCGTGAGAATTAAATGAGGTAATGTAAATTAAAATGTCTAAACAGGTACCTGGTACTTGATGAATGGAATCTATAAATATGAGCTAGTATTATAGTTTTATTAAAAAATTTTAACTCTTTACTCATATGCTGCATATTTTTCTTCAGTACTATTGATGATTCATTTGTCCTCAGAACATGAATCACTAGAATATCAAGAGAACAAATTGAAGGCAGAGAGGGAGAGGAGCTGGTTGAATGGACATGGGAAATCCGGGCTGGAAAGGAGGAGGGTGCTGTCACAGTATAGGGAGAGCAACTAGGGTCACATAACAATGTGTGTATGAATTTTTGTATGAGAAACTGACTTGAATTGTAAACTTTCACTTAAAGCACAATTAAAAAAAAAGAGAACAAATCATTCAGGATATTATTTATACCTGTTAAGTGTCAGAAATGTTAATTCTTATTAATTTAGCTTATGAGTATTTACTGAGTACCTGCCATATTTTTAGTGCCAAGCTTAGTACTGTAGAAGAACACAAGATACAACTTGTGTCTTCCAGGGGTTTGTGATCCAATTGGGGAGTAAAAAGTCAGCACAGCTGTATTATAGACAAAGTCACAGTTTTGTCTTAGGCTTAGATGTGTCATCATTTTTCAATGGAAATGATTGGATGCATCATTTTCTTCACAGTGCCATTTCTGGAAATATGATTCTTTAAAGCAACAATGTAAAACAGTAGATATATAGGTCCTATTGTAGAGGAGAAGTATCGTAGGAGTTCAGAGAAGAGAGATATTAATGTGGATCAGAGGTGCTGGGGAAGAAATAATATCTATAAGACCTGGTTAGGTGGACATGTGGGGAGAATCCTTCCAGGAAGAATCACTGTATGAGCAAGAGCCTAGAGAGCAACTGGTTTTCAGAGAGCAGTTTATATGGACACTGGCCGGGCTTAAGTCCAAGTTTATATTGAGGAGCAAAAAGAAATCGGGTTGGATAAGAGGGCCAGAGCCAAATTGTGGAGGGAATGGCAGGCTGGAGTGTAGGGTTAATCCTGTGGGGGGAGGAGGGGGTTGCTGGATGTGTTGAGCAGGGGAGGGATGAGATGAAAGTGGTCTTGTAGGAAGGTGTTTTGACAGGGGTGTTCGAGATGGTTTGGATGGGAGAAAGAAGAAGGATGAAGTGAAGGAGACCAATTAGAAGGCTGTTTAGCTATTACAGTGATCCATGTGTGAGAAGTGGCCTGAGGTAGGATGGTAGCAGAAGGAAAGAAAGGAGCTAATTTAAAGAGGACTAATCAATAGGGCTTTTGAGACTGATACTTACTGGTACAGTAGATATCTAAGATGGTAAAATTTTGATCTTAGAAGGATGGTGGTGCTAGTGCAGAATTGGAGTGGTAAGGAAAACTTACTGTGCAGGTGAGTTTAGTTTGTACAGGCAGAGAGAGAGAGATTAGAGAGAGAGAGAGAGAGAAATAGATAGGTAGATAGATGTAGATGCTAGATAGATAACATTTTGGAAAAGGAAAAAATGACCTCATAATTCTACCATTTTAACACAACTATCCATTTTCATATGTCTCTATTTTGCCTTGTAGCCCTGGTTCATACACCCACGTGTTTGACATATCTACAATTATAAACGTAGATGCCATTTTGTGTTATTTAAACTAGTGTTATTTTTATGCAGTCTTTGTAATTTTAAATGTTATTGGCTGAGTGCTTACCCGTTGTCTGATACATCCCCAGAGCTTTCTGAAAGCAGGGACAGTATTGGTGATGTTCATTCCTGTGTATCTAGAGCATAGGAGAAGCTTAACAAATGTTTATTGAATGAAAAGATTGTTGATCACATAGATTATTTCCCTTAGTTTTCTTTGTAGAAGTTGCTACAACAAGCATGTATATGATAGTTTTTTGCTTCTTTTTCCTTACGATAACTTCCCAAGACTTGAATTACTAAGTAAAAGGACATTAGGCCTATTTTGCAGGACGTCCAGATGGCAGTGTCCAAGGAGGAGTTTCGAGACCCAGCTGGAGTAGAGAGAAAAGTCGACACTTTTCACTGCTGTTGTTAGGTGACTTGGACTTGATTTTTGGCTTATAGTGACCCCATGTGATAGAGTAGGACTGCCCCACGGGTATTCTAGGCTGTGTAATCTTTTACAGGAGCAGATTGCAAGGCAGGAAAACTTACATCAAGAGCTATTTTACGCTTTACTATTGTTTGGAGGCCTCAGGCAGTTCCACTGGAAAGCTTTATTGGTCATTAATGTCTTAGCACGCCTTTGATTTGGAGAACATGGCTTGAGTATCTAGCCTTGGGATATCTTCTCTATGTAGGAGTCTTCAGAAAGCTGTATATCAGTTGGGATGGCATTTGACCATTAGACAACTTGGCATACAGTGACTTAAACCTGGAAGGGGTTTGTTTTCTTCATGTAAAAAGATGTTTGGGGATAGGCAGTCTGGGGCGGTCATGATAGCTCAGTGATGTTGTTGGAGACCTAAACTCTTCCTGTCCTCCTCCTTCTCCATCTTTAGCCTGTGACTTCCATCCTCGTGGTTGCAAGATGACTGCCATGCCTTCATCCATTGCAGCCTTGTTTCAGGCAGGAAGATGGGTGGGGAGGCAAGGACAAAGAGATGAAAGGGCTTTTCTGTGGAGTCTGCCCCTTTAGAAAGCTTTCCTGGAATCCCCACCCAGCAGCTTCTACTTATATCTCATTGGCTAGAACTATATCATATGGCTACCCCTAAGGGCAAGGGAGAAGGTTGGAGTTTTTAGTTGGGTACATTGCTTCTCCATGAAACTGCGGTGCAGTTAGGAAGGAAGAAGGGGAGAATGGATGTTGGGTAGGCAACCAGTAGTGTCTGCCACCCTCAAATGGCATACTGAAAGATGCTCCTAACAGCCCGTTCTTTGAGGTGGTGAGAGGCAGGCACTGATACTTATATTATACAAGTGAAGAAATGAAAAGATGTGCATTTTCCAGGAGCCCATGAGTACCTATGAATATGATTAATTATTTTGCAAAAGAATGTTATTTTGTGCCTAAAAGCTAGCCAAATGTAGCATTAAATCTTAGAATTTTGCAAGGCTTATGTTCCAAGTAGGAATTAATATTGAATAGCTTTATTACAGGAAGATTCTTAATGAGTCAGTATAAACAAGGGCCAAGAAACACCTCAGCATAGATCAGTTTGGTGGGCACGTCACCTGGTAACCACTGGATTGCCCTGAAGAGCCTGGGTTTATAAAATGAATCTGCTCAGAAGAGCCCCAACTCCAGGCTTGTACTCAGCACTTGAAATGTAAAATTTTGTCTGTTTTTCCTGACTCAGGTCTTAGTTTCACATACTTATACCTGGTGCTCTACTCAGTGTTTCTCAATTCTCACTGCCTTAGAATTAGCTGGGGAGCATCTTAAAGATGTTGATGCAGAGTCCCTCCCACCGCAGATATCCTGATCCTCTTGGTCTGAGGTGGTCTTCTGAGCGAGAAAGAATGAGGACATGCACTGAACAGTGACAGTGGGCCTGGACGGGAGGGGACAGCACTGATGAGTGTGTAGGGCAGTGCTGTCCCGTAAAACTTTCTGCCAGTTTCTGATGCAGACATTCTCCTGTGCTGTCAGGTATGGTCCATGAGCCACACGGGCTGTTGAGCAAGTGAGAGGTGACTGGTGTGACTGAGGAACTGATTTTTTATTTGGTTGTAGTCAGTTTAAAGTTAAATAACCACATGCGGCTCTTGGCCACTTTATTGGACAGTGCAGATTTATTCAGGAGGTAGAAACAGTGGACTGTGGTTACTGATGGGGAGAGAAGAGCGTAGGGGTGGGAGAAAAGGGAAAGAGAGGGAGGAGTTGAGCATAACCTCACAGTTTGTACCTTCAGTAAGGGGATAGGTAGTAGGACTTCTGGAATGGGAACAGAGCTGGAAAGAGGTTCATGAGTCTCAGGCCAGGACCTCTGAAATGACAAGCACATGGTATAAGCCCCGGCCTATTTTAGGTGCTTAATCCACGTTGGATTGTTTTAATAATACTTGGGCAGAGTTCACAGTTCCTGTGTTGTATTTGTTTAGTACAAATACAGTCTAAAAGTATCTCTGAAAATAGTATTTTCTTCCTATTCAATCTCTTATCTTTCTCTCTTTTCTTACACTAGGTATCAAATTGTAGTGGAAATAATCCAAGCAACTACAATTAGCAGCTTTCCCCAACTGAAGAGACACAAGGGTAAGAACTAGTTTTGTTTTCTCCAGTTACACATTTTAAAGGTCCTGGGTCTACCCCCCGTCCTCTCTCTCCTGTCAAAGGTTTGGCAGGTACAAGCATTCTTTTGACTTGTATTTAAATATTTCAGATTTATTAAAATTATTAAAATAATACTGTAACAGCATTAGAGAAAGTAAATATAATTTCATCCTAGCAAGAATCTGTTTGTATTTCCACGTTCCCTTACAAACTTTAACCATACGTAGTCATACTTTTTAGAAAGTTCTATTCATGGGGCATATACTGCTTCTGTTCAGTTTTTCAAATGAAACATTATTTCATAATTTTTTCTCATATTGAAATTTAATCTTAATATTCATCAATATTTCTGTCTTGAAACATGATCTTGGATAGTCACTTAAATGACTCCACTGAGTTGATGTTTCATGATTTACTTAGCCGTTTTCCTTTGTTAAGCATTTGGATTGCTAATAGCTTTTTTCCTTCTTACATTCTTATGTTGTAGATTAAAAAAAATATAGTCTATGTTTTTTTCCTGTTTTTTTCTCTTCAAATGAAGAAGGATTTACCCAGGCATGATACTGAGGGATAATTAAGCAATAAGGATTATTCTCAACTCCTTTGTAGTTTGCCTGATGCTCACATATTCCCCACCTCACATATGAAGTTGGAGGACATGTTCACATCTAGAGTGCAGAATAGGCCTTGATTCGAAGCTGAGAGACAACAGACATTACTTCCACTTTGTAGACTAGACTTTCCACGATTATCTGCAGGCCCACTCAAGTCCCTGTCAAGGGTAGAGTTCTAGAAGAACACGGGAAGAGACTTTTAAAATGTGCTCCCAGGCTTCTAACTGGCACACAGACGCAAAAGGAAGCTTAGAGTTGGGGACTTTTCCTGAGTCATTGACAGACGGCAGGAGCTGTGTTAAAAAAACAAATGAAGGTATAGGCTTTGAAGAGGCACTAATTCTTAATCTCAGCCCAATAAGGGAGATTGTACAACTGTGTTCGTTCAGCAAATGTTTACTGAGCATCTACTAGGTGGTAATGATTCAGCAGTGAACAAGACATCTCTGCCCTCATCTAGTCCATAAACCAGGCTGGGAGGCAGTCAAACAATAAACAACGTTTCAGAGGGTGATATGGGCCTGGTTGTTGTTAGTTGATGCTGACTCATAACCATCCCATGTGTGTCAGAGTAGAACTGCACCGTAGGGTTTTCAAGGCTATGACTTTTCCAAAGCAGACAGGCAGGCTTGTTTTCCGCGGTGCCTCAGGGTAGGTTTGAACCATTAGCCTGTTGGCTAATAATATAGTCAAGCGCTTGCTTAACTGTTTACACCACCCAGAAACTTCTATGATATGTACCTTGGAGAAAAATAAAGCAGACAGGGTGGGGCTGGGAGGGTAGGGAATTCTGGTCCAGCTGGAAGGGAGGCATATTTTACATTCAGATGGGGGTCTGGGAGGACCTCCGCAGATAGTGACCTGTGATCAAAGACTTAGTAGGGGCATGAGGGTGTCTGGAGAAAAGGACCTGGGCAAAACCCTGTGGCAGAAGCTTGCTGGGCTTGTTTGAGGAGGCCAGAGTGGCTGAAAGGTGTGAGTTTGGAAGAGACACCAAACATGAGGTGAGAAAGGTGGCAGGGGGCTGGATCACGAAGGGCCGTGTGAGTCACTGTAGGGACTCTGGCTTTTACTCTGAATGAGGAGGGAAGTCTGGAGGCTTTGGGACAAAGGAGACGTGATCTGATGAATTCCTACAAGAGTGTGGGCTTTGCTTCTCACCTTTTTCTCATTGTGTTTGTAGAGAAGATACTTTGTTTCCATATTTTAAAGGGAATACAAGAGAGAGATTTTTCTGCCACTATTGTGTTTTTTTTAATACTCCTTACATGAGTTTAGTCAGAAAATACTCTTCTGACTTTGTGTTATATTACTAGACATTCTTAGTGTCAGGATGCACTTCTTACTCTCAGGCCTCCATTTTCTCTCTAAGCTGTCCTTACAGCTAACTGCCTTGGGTATCCCAACCCCTTTCTATTTAAGCTGCTACCTGGGAGAAGGTAAACAAATTGAGAAATAGGGAGTGACTGCTAATGGTTATGGAATTTCTTTTTCGGGTGAAGAAAGTGTTATACATTTAGATTGTGGTGATGATTGTACTTACTACTCTGCAAATACACTAAAAACCATTGAATTGTATGCATTAAAGTGGATGAAATTATGATATGTGAATTATATCTCAATAATGGCGCAGTAGTTAAGTGCTCAGCTGCTAAGGGAAAGGTCAGTGCTTCGAACCCACGAGCTGCTCCTAGGGAGAAAGATGTGGCAGTCTGCTAGAAGTTACAGCCTTGGAAACTCTATTTGGCAGTTCTCCTCTATCCTGTAGGGTCGCTATGAGTCAGAATCGACTCAATGGCAGTGGGTTTGGTTTCTAGGTTTTAAAGCTGTTAAAAAAAAAGAATGAGGAGATGGAGACTGAAAATTCAGTTGGAGGCAAAGCTAACAAGCATTTCTGGGGCCTGGAGTCTACAGCAATGGCACCAATAGAACTTTCTATGATGATTGAAATACTTTCTACCTGTGCCATCCAAGATGGTATCCACTAGCCACATACGGCTGTTGAGCCCTTGAAATATGATTAGTATGACTGAGAAACTGAATTTTTAATTTTAATTAATTTAAATAGTCACATGTGACTAATGGCTACTGTACTGGGCAATGCAGGAAGGTTTATAAGAATTTCAAGGACTCTCCAGTCCTTATGCAGTGACTTTCGGTAAATGAAACAGCAGGTACAAGTGCCTAGCATAGTTTCTGGCATGTTGGTACTTAGTAAAGTTGAAATTGAATAAGAAGCAAAATCTCATTTTAAAAAAGCTCTTTGACCAAATGTATTTCTCTTTAAAGTTTTATTCTAAGTTTTAATTTAATAGTCCTGGTGGAGTTTGGTTTGTCTTTGAGCCAGAGCATCTCTTCCCTTCTTAAAGTCCAGGACTCTGCTTTGTATGCTTTTTGCTTATTCAGAACTGGCTTGAAATAACCTTAGAGGCTTAGAGTTGGGGAGAAGTGATCTCCATGCCAGGGTGACTTCAGAGCGGGTTCAGAGTTCTGATTCATTAGGCCTACATGAGAGTCAGAGTCAGAGTTCTACCATGATGTAGACTAGGGCCCTAGGATCTCATTTGGGTCTGAAAGGTTCTTCCTTTAGGGATCAATATCTAGTGCTGAGGAGCCCTGGTGTACAGTGGTTAAGAGCTCGACTGCTACAAAAAGGTCAGCAGTTCAAATTCACCAGCCTTTCCCTAGAAACCCTATGGGGCAGTTCTACCCTGTCCTGTAGAGTTGCTATGATTCGGAGTAGACTTGATGGCAATGGGTTTGGTTTTTGGTTTTATCTAGTGCTGAGAAGCCCTGCTGGTGCAGCGGTTAAGCGCTTGGCTGCTAACTGTAAGGTCGGGGAACTTAGCAGCTGCTCCATGGGAGAAAGATGTGGCAGTCTGCTCCCATAAAGATGATAGCCTTAGAAACCCTATGGGGCATTTCTACTCAGTCCTTTAGGGTCGCTATGAATCAGAATCAACTCAACAGCACTGGGTCTAGTGCTAGGAATAAATCAGACAAACCTTTAGGGGAGAAAGTCAAGGTGACCGGGTATTTGTTGCCCGGTATTAGCTCTCCTTCCAGCAAGTATCAGGGTCTCTTCTGACATCCATTTTGGTCTTTTCTTTCTTTCCTGTCTTTCTAATGACCTTTTTTTTCTTCATGTATGATGTCCTTGATGTCATCCCACAGCTCATCTGGTCTTTGGTCATTAATATTCAAACTTGCTCTTGAACGTACAGCAGGTAAAGCGAATGGAAGAAGCGGTGAAGTAAAAGAGCTGAACAGAGGATTTCAAAGGGTAGCTTGAGAACACTAAAGTATTATAATGACATGTGCAAAGACTTGGAGTTAGAAAACCAACATGGAAGAACATGCTCAGCGTTTCTTAAGCTGAAAGAACTGAAGAAAAAATTCAAGCCTAGAGTTGGCAATACTGAAGGATTCTATGGACAAAATATTGCACGACACAGAAAACATCAAAGATGGAAGGAATATACACAGTCACTGTACCAAGAAGAATTGGTTGTCATTCAACCATTTCAGGAGGTAGCATATGATCAATAACCGATGGTACTAAAGGAAGAAGTCCAAGCTGCACTGAAGGCATTGGCGAAAAACACGGCTTCAGGAATTGACAGACAGCAATTGAGATGTTTCAACAAACGGATGCAGCGCTGGAGGTGCTCACTCATCTGTGCCAAGAAATTTGGAAGACAGCTACCTGGCCACCTGACTGGAAGAGATGTATATTTGTGCCCATTCCAAAGAAAGGTGATCCAACTGAATGCAGAAACTATAGAACAATATCATTAATACCACACGCAAGAAAAATTTTGCTGAAGATCATTCAAAAGTGGTTGCAGCAATACGTCGACAGGGAACAGCCAGAAATTCAAGCCAGAATGAGAAGAGGTTGTAGAACAAGGGATATCATTGCTGATGTCAGATGGATCTTGGCTGAAGGCAGAGAATACCAGAAAGGTGTTTAGCTGTGTTTTATTGACTATGCAAAGGCATTCAACTGTGTGGATCCTAATAAATTACAGATAACATTTTGAAGAATGGAATTCCAGAACACTTAATTGTGCTCATGAGGAACCTGTGCATGGACCAAGAGGCAGTTGTTAGAACAGAGTAAGGGGATACTGCATGGTTTAAAATCAGTAAAGGTGTACACCAGGGTTGTAACCTTTCACCATACTTATTCAGTCTGTATGTTGAGCAAATAATCTGAGAAGCTGGACTATACGAAGAAGAACACAGCATCAGGACTGGAGGAAGACTCATTAACAACCTGCAATATGCAGATGACACAACTTGCTTGCGGAAAACAAAGAGGACTTGAAGCACTTACTGATGAAGATCAAAGACTACAACTTTCAG